ACATGATTGTATATAATATTGTATATTTATATGCTTTTGTTCACTTTCGTCATTTATCTGGTCAATAAATGATATTTTCACTCAACTCAAGTTCTCATGTCTTCTCTAGTGTTTCAAGCAACAAGAACAAGCTACGGAAAGGCTTTTCATATTATGAGATGCACTTTTATTAGTGGAAAGTGGTGGATATAAATTAAAATATATCTAAGAGGTAACTTAAATAACAAAATTTTAGGTATTGTTGCCATCTTTTTACATTTTACAAACTAAAGCAAGAAACATAGAACATTCCTTGTTTATGAAAACGGCGGGAATGAAAAATGAATTTGGCTCAATTATTTTTAGGGGGCCGACTATAGTTTTATTGTGTGAAAACTACAGTAGCGAAACTTTTCTTTTTTTTTTACCGTATATAGCTTACATTAACTTCAGTGTACATGCAAAGTTTGGGGGAAATCTACCGTCCAGGTATTTTTGAGGGACCGTCTCAAAATACAGGTACATTTACTACAGGATTATATAGGAAAATGCCAATTTTTAGAACTTTAAAGAAAATTATACAAATACTACAATAGACATTTTGTTCAAACCATAATATTTGATGAGTAATACTATATTATACAGTATATGTAAGAAACCTTCTTGTTACCAGAGGGGGCATCTCAAAATGCAAAAAAAAATAGCAAATTTTACCATATTTTTATAGAGTATTACTAAATATGACGTACACAATGGATTCACATGAAAACATAATAAAAATGTTAGAGATATTCCCAAATTTCTATGTTTTAAATTTCAAGAGTGTGTGTTTCTTTGATAATATTTTTATTACCCCTTTCTTTAAGAGCTACAGATTATCATAACGTCAAAAACACACTGCAACGACGTCAACCTACCTATCAATTTCAAAATCGGTTAAAAAATCAGTTATATCAAATTCTAATTACATTTTTATACCTATAATTTCTTAACTTTGTTTAATTTTAATGATTAAGCGAAAAAAGTTGCATTAAAACATTAGATACGCTTCATTTTACAATGATGCGCGAAATATTGCGCAATGAAAACTATAGTCGACCCCCTTAAACATTTGCTAGCTAATATGCTTTTTTATTCAAATATTTACAACCCCCTCATTAAGAATCAAAGAAAACAAGATAAGCTCAATTAGATTGCATGATGATTTTTTCTGGCCTGGAATTCAGTTCATTCGAAAAAACCGACCTTGGATACTAAGACGTACTTTTTAAGAGATGGAATACACAAGTACAGATAAGAAAGAGGTGTCGAAAGTAATGTAAATAACTTGTTCCTACGCCTTTATTACTCTTTATATCACTGAAAATGTTAAGCGCCGGTTTTTTAAATTACTTCTTTATTGAAAAAAAAAACGTGTTAATCGTAAATTAAATTCGTACAAAAGATATTTGCATTCATATTAGTTATTAGGACCTAATTTTCTCATATTTAATGTATTCATTGAATTTTTTCACAAATATGCATAAATAAAATGTTATGTTGTATAAAATGTTTATTTGCAGGCTTTTTACATTGTTATTTTCAATTCAATTCAATTTTGTACATGTAGTTATAACTAGTAAGTTATATTAAGGTGGGGTACATTCTACTTACATCAGGATCGAGGTTATGGCAAATTTAACCTCTACTGCCCTACCTGCTCCCTTGTTTAATTATTCTAACAGAAAAGGTATTTATATTTATAGGTATTTATTTATTTTGACTATCTTGGAAAATTCGATTTTGATGCTCTTTTCTCTCCATGTTTACATTGTTTTATTTTTTTTATTTACAAATCATTTGAATTTGTTTTAACTTATTCATGTAAGTAACATACGAGTAGCTACTCTTTTAGTACGCCACCTTCTTGTTGCTCAAACTTTGTAATCATTATTTATACAATAGCAGGGATAAGCACTAACTTGCAATGTAACATATACCTAAATTGACATTAATTTTCATCAGTTTGCATTATCCAAGCTTTCAATGCACTCAATTGTACGTTTTGTATATTTTACATCATTTTGTTTCACTTATTCTCATTTATTTTGGCAATAAATGACATATTCACTCAGCTTATTTTTTTTTCTGTTTTCCTGAAGTGGTTAAAGCGACAAGAACAAGCCTCAGAAAAAAACGTTTGACTTTACTAAAGAGTGGTATCTGTTTATTGAATAAAAAGTCGTGATAAATAAACTATCTACTATTTAAGTATCACACGACCTGCTTTTGTTACACCACTTTGTAAAATTAATTTTATGGGAAAATTAAATAGTGTATGACAACAATTTTAGATATAAGTATTTTATTTTGTATTTGTCATATTTTGTTATTCATCTCAAGCATCTAGAGCTTACGCGTAATCTATTACCGGAAGTGAAACATTTTAGCTGTCAACCGCAGTTAACTCTGCATCATTCTGCATACCTCGGAATGCGCGCTTTTATTTGGTCTTTGAATATGTGTCGCCCCGGGATTTTCCAGGGGTCTGAATCGTTTGGGAATTCCTTGATTGGGCTGCGCACTGCAAGGACGATTTAAAAGGTATAGGCGAACCATAATATTCCCCAAAATAAGAGTGATTGAGGGATCATCTCTTGTCATCTATAACTGAGAAACCTTTTTTATACAACAGGGTCTAGATTACTGGGATTTATTTTTTTTAAATCAAAAAAGATGCGTAAATAGTGCATGAGGTGGGCAAGCTCGTCATATATTACATGTATGCTCTTTAAAATCTATATCCTTTAATTTCATAATGAATGAAATTGACTAATAGTTCCAGAAATAAATGGCATACCTTTATTATAAATGGTATGCTGCTCTAGTTGCTTTGAAATACTGATATATACAAATGGCCCTACTGCTGTTTCCATTTTGTAATTAAATTGTTTGTGGTATGGCATTTTTTATTAGATTTCTACAGCGTATACAATTTAAGAATAGAGGGAACCTGCACCTGCCATTGACAAATCAGGATTCTCGTCGCAAATTCATTTCCTGGATATAATCACCACATATATAGGAAATATGGTAACCATATCTAATATAAATGTTTGGGTAAAAGAGAGACAGAACGAAAATACTTTTAAGCGGAATAAAAAGTAAAATATCTAATTAATTTGCACGTCAACGGAAAATGTTTAAACCTAAAACAACAGCTTAATCTAATGCAAAAAGTCCAAGAGTTTCAAATGGCTTGCAAATGGAAGCCTGCTTATTATGTTCAGTCAAACAAAACTTTTGAATGATAATGGATATATTTTTGTCGCCGTTAAATAAACGCTGCATTTTATACCACACTCATTGTCATTATTTATTCATTATTTTTTCTCCCAATATATGGCTATTTAAAACATTTTTGTGACGTAACCTTGTGTTTGTTTCTATCCAGTATATTTAAGAATGTCCCCTTAAAAGTATTGCAGTCCATTTTTTTTGTCCTACCAGTCCAATATTTTATATTACCAATCCAATACTTTGTCCGATCAGTGCAACAGTCCAGTCTGATACTAAAATTCGTAATATTACGAAAAAACGTAAGATTACGATAAAGCGTAATATTACAAGTTATCGTAATATAAAACTTATATTACAATTTTTCGTAATGTAGTTGAATTACGAATACGCATAATATAGCAGATTGTATAATAAAATATATTACGAGTTTTCGTAATTCAAGACAAATTCAAGCATTGCAAGAAATTGAGTGGTGGGTAGCAAAGTGTGACGTCAGTAATATATCAGATTCCACATCTACTGATAGCACGCGGTCAGTTTGGTCAGTTACGCCTATCAGAAAGCATGGGAATTCGAGAAAAAAGTACCGTCAACGATGGGTGAGTGGACAATTTCTTTTATTATTCTTTTATAGGAATTTTCCCAAGGATAGGATCAATTTTCCAGTAAATTTCAATATTCGCTTAAGCATGTCGCATTGGCCTATATCACCCGAACTCCCTACTTTTCTTGCGAAGTCTACCCTAAAAATCACACCCTCGTCTCATAATACAACTGTTCGTGCAATTCCTATTGAAATACACAGAATTCAAATCTCAGTAAGAGTCGTACAAGTTATCGCCAGTGACATCTCGTAGTAAACGTCATTCTTTGCTGCCCGCCACTCACACCCCTACTTAAGTTATTGTTATTTAAATTCAAGACACGTGGTTTAGGTTTACCTATTCAAAGGTTATAGGGTAGATCCGGTTTTATAAATAAAATTGGCAGTAAACAGGAAATTGCTATTGTCTGTTTCTTCTGATAACATCCCTGTGAAAAATGTGTTTCCACAACTTTCTGAAAGACTTTCATGATTTTCAACAGAAATTAGTGGCTTGGGGGGGGGGGGGGTAATAACAATTAATACATCTTATCATAGTAAACTGCAAAAATTACAGCTCACTAGTACTCACTGGTAAAAAATTGAAGTCTCGCTAACTCTCGCCAGAGCCACTGTCAAAGCTACTCTGAACTCATCGGATTTTATTATCTGCAGAACACCGAAAAATAAAAGGTTCCGAACACATTAGTAGGGGTGCCTCAATTTCTTGCAATGCTTGAATTTGTCTTGGATTACAAAAACTCGTAATATAGTCTCTACAATCTGCTATATTACGCGTATTCGTAATTAAACTACATTACGAAACATTGTAATATAATTTTTCTATTATGATAACTTGGAATATTACGCTTTCTCGTAATCTTACGTTTTTTTCGTAATATTACGAATTTTCGTATTGGACTGGACTGTCCAATATTGAACAAAATTTTGGATTGGAAAATAGTGGACTGAACTGAAATGAAAACCGAAAACAAATACATGAAATAATTTTAATAGAAGTACAGAAACGGGAAAAATCACAACAAATCACAAACGCACATGTACAGACACATCGCCAGCAGTGATTTTTATTTCCCTGGAAGCACTATTCCTTACACAAGCAGCAGCTCCGTCATTTTCAGTGGAAACCTTCTTCACCTTAGATTGCACAACGACACTCATCCTTCATCTTCTCCGTTGACGTACGTTTGTAGGCCCTGACCGCATTCGAGCGATGCCCCGTCTTTTCTACAAGTTCCGTTAGTTGTTCGTCAACACCGGCTTGATACAGTCTTGTAGCGGCGGTAGCCCTTAAAGAATGGCTGGTAAAATTCCCATGAAATCCAGCTGCTTTACACAATTTTTCGACAACTTGCTGAAGTTGATGAACCCCTTTCGGCACGGCGTCGAACCATACTGTTTCTGTAGCCCTCTCTTTGGGTCGTAGATACAACGCCGTCGATTTTCCATTAGGTGGTCTAAAAAAAATGTAAATAATATAAATAGTACGCAAAAAAGAGGAATATGCAACTTTACAAACCATTTTTTCGGAACACTGCATGCATCAAGATAATATACATGATTTGTTAAATAACATAATTCTTGTTCGAAATAATATCCAGATAGCTATATTCTCACCTTAAACTGATATATTTCTCAAAAATTTTAACAAGGCAACGTTCAGGCTCATCCACATTTTCATATGCCCTCGTGACTTTTGGCGTAATTTTGCGATGATTTAAGTCTCCGATGTTACTTTTGGATGCCTTCTCTGTGTATTGGAGGTACCGTCTCCCATCATCTTTGGAGATGTTTAGTGATAACTGAGAATTGGTACCAACTTGAAGATTTTGATGTTTTTGCCCGGCACGGAGAGCAAAGTTTAATCCGATACTGTATAGCAAAGTATCGACCAACATTTTGGCAGTGTCAGTTTCGAGAATCCCACGCTCCCACATCTCGTTTTCCTGTTCCGCTGAAATAATATCTGCTTGTTTACGACTGATCCCAATTCCCATTCTAGATAATTCTTTCATTTTTGCATCTAATACTGGTGGCATATAAGCAAAGTCGGTATCATCAAGAAAGTTATCAAACCTCCCGCTACCTCGCAGAAAATGTTGTATAGAAATTACAATTTCAGAAAGGGTGTTCGGGTGGTATTCTCCGCCGGATTTGTTATGAACTTCAGCGATGAAAATATGCATAGCTTTATCTAACGACATATTGTCCATGGTCATAAATTCAGCCATTACAAAAGTCGAATTCGGTTCTTCCGTAATCTGCACATTTTTGTTTCGTTTTTCTTTCCATTCATCAAATAAATTCACAGCCCATTTAGCTTTATTTTCGGTGTTTTTGGATTTCGTAGAATGGACTAACCTCTTTGGATCCGCCTCTTGAAGGGGTTTTGAAAAACGAGTTGAAACACATTCCTTTGTCGACGCCCTGTTTTCAATCTCCTGGGAAGCCTTTATTAATGACAAGTCATCACCTTCAAAGTCCGATATGTCAAAAAATGAAGGATTTTTACGAATAATGGAGAGGCGCGTAATTCAAAATTTCCATGCGAGTCCTCCAGATCAAGAATGTCATTCAAAATAGTATCAGTGTCATTATCGGACTTATCGCTGGGGGTTCTAAAAGAACTCTGAGTCTTAAAAATCTCGACATCACTCTCTGATTCCATCGTACTAACTGAATGAAATTAAGGGTAGCGATGACATAAACCTAGGTATAATATCCGAGGATTGTAACTTCCTCGAATGAAAATGATTCCACATTATGCCCAACACTAATAATCATTCTGACTGACTGAGACCCCCGAAAAAAATATTACGTTATATGCACATGGTGTTACAGGTGAATATAAGGATTTATAATATTTCTACATTGATCAAAAGATAGATAGGAAATTCCAAATTGATACAAAAAGCTTTTTATTATCTCCTGCTACCTACTCTTATTCATGTAAACATTTAGGGTGCGATGGTTAGTAGAGCTGCCGGGATACCCTGCTTCCGACATTTCTTGTAAACGTTTTTGTCCACCGCTTGAAAAGTGGGGAATATTAATTTGGGTCTGTCCGTCCGTCCGTCCGTTATTCTGTCTGTCTGTAACGCTTTCGTTTCCACACGATATCTCGAGAACCCTTTAAGCTTTCGCAATGAAATTTTGCATATCAACTTCCTATGGACTACAAAAGAACCCTATTGATTTTGAGGTCAAAAGATTAAAGATCAAGGTCATAAATTCGCAAATTCTGACTTTTATAACACTTTCGTTTCCGCGCGATATCTCGAGAACCCTTTGAGCTTTTGCAATGAAACTTTACAAAGCAACTCCCTGTGGCCTAAGAAAGACCCCTATTTATTTTGAGGTCAAAAGGACAAAGTTCAAGGTCGTCAATTTATACATAATATCTGTGTATAACACTATCCTTTCCGGGCGATATTTCAAGAGGATTTTGAGCTTTTGCAATGTAATTTTATACCAAAACTCCCTAGGACCTCTTTCACCCCTCTCAATTTGTCCCGCCCCGTTTGTTTTATTAGTATTTATTGTATTACATGTCGCTATTTTTAGCACAGGGGCATGAGGTGATTTATTACGTATAAAACAGGTTCTCGGCGGACTTTATATTCTTATTACATTAGAACTGTTTAATAAAGGTTAAGTAAGACACCATGCATTGTGTAAAATTTTGACAATATCGAACGTGAATATATAAATACATGTATGTGACTTCATCTTTGCATATAATGTTCGCCAGGGTAAAGTAGTTCCGTGCTCTAGTGGTATGTCTCTTGCTTCACATGTGAGAGGTTCCGAGTTCGAATCCCGGACGATCCATTTTCTTTTTTTTTTCGAAATACTTTTTTTTAACTAAATTATTGTATTCAGCATGTGAAATGAAAAAAAAATTATGAGGTCTGGCTTGCACAAACTCATAAAATCATCATCACAGTGTGATAAATATTCCATACAAAAAGAATCTTCTATATACATAATAAAGAATAAGCAATCAAATATTTATATGCATATTGGCATACATGTATTTTTTTGCTTCAGTATACATGTATACATGTATACATTTAATAATTCTACAAATTCAGTCAGGGGGATCCGACTTTTTCCCAAAGCGGGGGACACGAATTCTCTGAATTAGCTTGTTACTCTTTTGGCTCTCAGTCCTCCCTTATACAAAAGAGCCTGACATTATTTTTCTTATTATGGCAACTAAAATAAATTTTAAACATTTCAAATAAATACGACAGGTGGGGTTTACATAATAAATAGTTTGCATTGTTAATTTTTGCATACCTATGCATCTAATTGATAATTAATAACTCTTCTTTTATACAGTTTTATAGAGGAGAAATATAACTAGTATTGGTTTAAAATCAAATGCATGTTCTTTCCTAATGATTGCCAAAAAGAAACATGTCCTACTATTTATTTCACCCTGATGTAATATTGTCAGGTTCCCATACAAAGGCGGAAACATTGTATTGATGAATTTATAATGCTACTACAATTTGACCAAAATGAAAATATTTTTTTATCAATTTACTGTCACGCATTTAATTTCGTTTTGATCATGTTGATTGTACAACATGGCTTGTTTGCCCTGAGCATTTTAAATTGAAATTAAAGCTTTTATTTATTGACATTTAATTTATAATATTGTTATATTTTCCATCAGCACTTAATTGCTTTTGATTTAAACTATGCAAATACATATACGATGACTAATAAAAAAAGTAAATAAAAAATATGTTGACTTAGGAAAGAACATGCCAGAAAAATACTGATTAAGCCTTTAACAATTTTGAACATTTATAAAATGATCCGATTGTGATGCGCAATCAATACTTGAAATTGCGAGTGTACAAACATTTCCATCAAATTGGATTTTTTTAAAATTATCATTTAAAAGGGTTCGATGCATTTTCATTTGTACCAATTAAACCTTTTTCTACCTGTTCAATAAGCATATCTCAGACAAAATTTCATGATTCTTCAATTATACCAACATTTCGATAGCTCATTAACATGCTAGGCTTAGAATTTATAACGATTTTTGGAGTTTTCTTCCAAAATGTTGGTAAGTTTTGTTTTTCAAATGGAATTAATATATTGGTAATGAAAGCTTTTAATTTAATACAGTTTACGTACATATTGCATGTTATGTTTATTCAACGAATTAATGGAGTTTTAAACTACCAAATGTTGAATTTTCTAGGTATCAAGTTATTGCAAGGTACATAAAGTTTGATATTTTGTTTTGAAAAGTTATGAAAAATATATATAACTGTTTTTTTTAATCTTCAAAGGATGTTACAATCTTCAAATTTGGAAAAGAGATGCACAATTTGATGATAAAATATTTTTCGATGAACCCTATCAGATAAACATTCCATCACATGCGCTATTTGTTACGTCGTGTGGAAGAATGTGTAAAAACGGAAGAGCGATATCATTATCATACTTAGAAGAAGAATGCTACTGTTACAAAAATAGGACAGACGAACAGTCCTTTACAACTTTGGAAGGAGTTCAGCATTATTTCCTTTCAGATGATTACTATTTTCAATCGGATGAACGAAGTGAGTTAAAATATTAACTAAATTTAAAAACAAATAACGTCACTGCTCGTACTGTATTTGTTTGATACATAATCTGTACAAAAATTGCAATATTAACTTTTCTGAAAAAAGGCTCGGAGTCAAAATCCCGTCTCATTTCCATGTATTTTTCCCGTGTAAATAATGCAAATATTGAAGGGACATTTCCCGTTTCCAAGACCTTAATAAAATTTCAGAAATACATTCCATTTCAATAAAAAAAACTCTTTATTAACAATTGCTTATAATAATTTTAAATCCATTTTTATGTCAATATCATTTTTTTTATTTAATTAGTGGAAAATGGAACGATCCGATGCTTGCTAGTTACCTTCAAATTATTGAGGCCTGTGTTTCTCTGCTCCTAATTTACAATGATTTAATGAATCCCTTACTTTGATTTATGTTCGTTATTTTCATTGATATGTAATTTATTTTGCAAAATTTCCACCAAATAATTGGTATTTTAAGACTGGAAATCTTATAAGTGTATCCTTTTAAACTTTTATTTGGATAGAAAACTATAATTTGAGTTTAGGGAGGCATATGAAATATATGTCCATTGAAAAATAATAAATTCATCAGAGTTGTTTACAAGAAATTTAAGAAAACAGATGTTGTAATGTTATGCTTTATACTGTAAATCATTTGTCAAGTATTCGAATTCAGAAATCTTTAACTTTAGACTGCAAAGGGCACAACTACATATTTCTATCTGATATCAGCGTCTGTTATAAAGATTACGTTGACACTAAGGGTTGGAAAGAGGCCAATGCAAAATGTGGATTAGACGGAGGCCACCTTTTTATGCTTGACACCGTGGAAAAACTCTTAAAATTTCAAAATATCATTCCCAAAAATGGTATGTTTATACATGTATTTGATTTAACTTTCCCGGCAGAAGGCAGAAACTGAGGGTAATATTTGATAATTATGTTTTTCCTTCCTAGAATATCGTCTGACAATATTCAGACGTCGCGCGAGTCCATCCATTGATCCTTTGAACAACCGGGCAATCATCAATTAAAAATTAGAAAAATTATCCAATAGAATATTTATTAGTTCAAATGATGGTCGAGATACTTTCAAAGGCAGATATTTAATAAATAAGGTAGAAAATATCATGCCAATAAAAATGTCTGCAATTTAACTATAACATTTTAAAAATGCTATTATCTAAAAGATTCAGATCTAACAATAAAATCCACACTATTCTGACTTTTATTTTCATAACTAATATTTTAGTATACTATGTGTACATCTTGGACCATTCACTTTGACAAAAAAAAAAAAAAAACACCATTGTTCACGCTTTTTGCGTAGAACTCTTGCATTTCCTAAATGAATTATAAATTCATTGTAGATTTCTATTTGTTAACTTCGTGTTAAAAACACAATATACACCTTAAGGCTACACAGAGGGTCTAATGTAAAATTAAATAAAAAGTTTCTTGTTAATTTTAGAATATTATCTTGATGTTTCATTTTTTTTTATTTTTCAACAAACATCCCCAAGCAGGGATAAAATGCAAGTTCCTTCCAGTTATAATCAAATGGACACGATTAGGCCACGAAATAATTTGATTTCAAAGTGAAATTTGTGAGAAAAAAAATTTCATTAATTATACGACCTTATCTTGTCATTTTTCTTTTTTCACAGGGATTCGAATATATGAAAGCGTCAGAGTAACCCTTAATCTTTAATTAAGTACGAGTAAATGGACATTTTCATTACAAAGTCACTGTATATTTTTATAACAAAATATTTCTTTAAAAAAATACTGTAAACAGAGATTTAACTTTCTTAATGTGGTTAAAATCTTTTCGAGCAAAAATAAAAATTCTTTTGATCATTATACTTTGTCTAACTAGAAATTAATGCTTTTTTAAGGACAGGTTGGTTTAAAATATATTTTATTCCCTGAAATTGGATGGAACAGTAGGCATAAATGCCTATGATAGTTTTCTCTCCATAGCCAAGGTACAATTACGGGTACATTTAAACATTGAAAAAAAAAACATCAATAGTAGATTATTAATTGGTGACAGACAGGTTATGGGGTTATAAACAGATTCTTGATTAACCAAGTAAGAAGAAAATATAGTAAATATTATAAACACATATAAAGTATGAATCTCTTCAATTTGACACGATAGCTTAACTTATCTAATTTTCTTTTAAACAGTTTATTATTGGGTTGGATTGGAGGACATGAACCAAGATGGCATCTGGACCTGGATAAATAATGAGAGCAAAGAATTTAATCAGAGCCTCTGGTTCCAACATGAACCAAACGGAGAAGATGAATTCTGTGGAATGGTGCAATACTATATATCTGACCCACGAGTTGGAATATTTGACGTTAATTGCGACAGGTCATTGAGATTCTTATGCGAAATATGAAATCTTTTATAAAGATGATTACGTGACTATTCTTCGCAAAATGCATTATTTGTCAAAGTAAATGTTTATTTGAATTTGACTTATTTGATGATTATGATAATTATAACGATGTCGATACATTAACGCTTAATTACTACATACAAGAAAACATTAATTGTTTCACTTTAAGTTATATTTAGAGTACGAGTTTCCTACTGTATCGGAGATACAGGGCGGGGCTTGAGTCGAAAGCGATAGGAAACGAGTATTCTAAATGATTTGTGACATGACCTTTCTAATGACCTCACTAATTTACATGCGCATTTTGGTACATATCTCTCAACAATCAGATGATTTTGCAGAGAGTTGATTTTGTTTCCCGTATTTAAGCATTCGCAACTGAAATGTCGAGAGAGGTGGACGTGCAGGTATTTATCATTTTAAAATAATTATTTAGGGGATGCATTATATAATTTGTTTTCCAAAGAATAGATTTAGATTTGATTGCGTAGGTTCTTTTTCTCTATTCAGCTGTTGCCGACATTCTTTTTTTTAAATTTATGAAACGATTAAATGCAAAACATTTTGATATCATGTGGGATGTTTTTGAAACAAAAATACTTCGGGGAAAGCGTATTCTGAGAGAAATGTCCGACAATGTCCTCAACCTGTCGTAATATAAATTATTGAAATAAACAAATAAAAGGAAAGCTGGAGGGAGAGTATTTTACCTTCATGTTTTTAATAAAATGTGAAGTAACCAAAGGGGATCCCAGCACTCACTGGTACCCCCGACTCAACCCTCCTGTGAGTTTTTTTTTTCTTTTTGTCTTTCGTAAGTGATTTTTGCTTAACGTGTACACATACGCTTTTTAATTTATCAACAAGAAAAGATAGCACCACATAGTGTCTTGGTTAGTTATAAATCTACACCCCCTCCCCCGAAATATACGAGTTTCCGCTTTTTTTTGGGGGGGGGTTCAAAGTTATCATTTGTGAACTGTCCCACTCCCTCCTTTCTAATTGTTTTTAAATCCAACACAAATTACGTTACGCTGTAAAGTTTTATTCTTAATCCACCTCAAATTTTGAGTAAATACTAACAGTGTTTTCATGGGAATTGAACGATTCTTTTTGTGAATACAGATTCAGCTTTCCGTCATCGCTAAAAATAATCCGTACTGTATCGTTGATATTTTGCAGATACAGTAAACTCTCCTCATTTGCATAAGAAACGACCACAACAAGTGTTCTGTATCGCAGTTACAGTATGCTTGACTTCAAAGGAAAACTCGCCGGGTCATGTCAAAATACTGTTAAGATTTTAACCCAACAGACATATAACCGTTACCGAAATTCCGGTAGGAGTATTTTCGATAGTTCTATGGATTTTCATAACATAATAAGAAAGGCGATAAAGAAAAACGTGTTAGTATTTAATGGTATGTCAATACTTTAAATAACAAAAGAGTGAATTTAGAATTTTGTTTTCAAAAGTGGACCGGATGAAATTGATGGGTCACATAAAATTAAGCAAAAGTCTATAAAAAAAAACATCTTGAAAGGTGTTCATGCAAAAGTAAAAAGACAATAACACAATGAGTCTAGTTTTTCAGAGGTATGTTTTTCCTTCAAGATTAAGCCTTGGATCCCTAACGGAAAACGCCAAATCCTAATGAAATGGGTATGAGAATCCTGTAAAATACGTAGATATTTGTTTAGGAAAGAGATCTATCCTACCATCCCTCATCCAACCCACACCCTTTACTTAACACAAAATAGACGACTTGGTCATGATTATGTTGATTAATTCAAAAGATAAGTAGCAATAAATTTCTATAATTTAGGTAGTTTTTTCCTAATTTTACCAGATTTGGAGAAGTTGACGATTGTTTTTTTCTATCTTATTTATCTGAAATTAGTGTAATTTTGTTTCCTTGTCAATGGAATTAAGACCATAATGTAGAACCACTCCCTTGTTTAAACAAAATACTGGATCAGTGTATTTTTTTTTAAATTTTGACACCAACGAAAAATATCAATCAACTGAAAATTAGAATTTTATTGTTCAAGTAATTTAACTAGAAAATGTTTTTCTTTAAAGAAAACTGTATCATAAAGTGATAGATTTATGAAAAAATGGAGTATAGCTCAATTCGTCTAAAAAATCGTGTCAAACGTACTGGCCGTTGACATTCATTTTTGGTACTTGAGGCTATGGTAACTTATTTAACTTTTCTGGGCATGTTCCAATGCTGGGAAAGAAGTGAAGCAATCTTAACGTTTTTGGCCAGACAAATATTATCTTTCGTCAGAAAAGAAAACTAAGAGCTGTAGGTTTCAAAAAACTGTCATTTACTGAAATCTAATACTTTTAGGAATTTTACAAAATTTGCACAGGCCATGTTATATTCTATTTTTGTCAATTTCCTCGTTTGTGCATCGTGATGTCATACTGTATACGTGGAAATTTTGTCGAGACGCAAATTTAGCGATTTCTACCTAAAATCTGGTATTTTATTTTTAGCGAGAAGTTATTTTAGCGATTTCAAAATGCTTACTAAAGAACCATATACAAATAATACGCAATTATTTTTTAGCGATATTCAATTTTAGCGATGTCTGAATCCTCGCTAATAATGACAAAATTAAATCCTCGCTAAATATTCTACTTATACGGTATTAAGAACCATTGTCATGAAAATCTACTATCTTATCGAAAACAAAGGCATCGTAAAGCGGAACATTCCCTTGAAAGATCATGTCTAAAAATCAAAGCAACATTCGACATTTGACATCAATCCCAATGCAATTTACGTAGCTATTTGAGTAGAAGGTGAAGCGAATATTTCATAAATGATTATTTCACGTTAATTGAGTGTTAATTTATCTAGGCGGCTGCACAGTGAATTATACTATTATTTATCTTCATTGTTCCAATTATCTGATTGGCTCAAAGTAGATCACATGATCAGGTATAAAAAGTTTAAAAAAATGGATGATTCTTTTTTTTTTAAAAATTATAAACCTGCTCTTTCTAAAATTAACGTCCTTCTGTGAAGCAACAATAGTGCTGACATCACAATAGTCTATATAAACTGGATGTTTCTAAAACAGATACTGCAGCTGGTATTCATTGCTGTGACGTCATAATGTAAATGACATAACAATGCTTTATATGAGAAGATAAAGACGATTAGAAAGGATTTTAAGACATTTAATTCATTATTAAGAAATAAAATAAAAATAAAACAATTGTAGCCTTTTGATTCCGTACAATCCCTAGATATATAGACCTTAGAGAAAGGATATCGACCTCTCACTTCAATTCGTGCTCAGATCAGTCGCTATGCTATCTCTAAGGCCTATAATTGTATAAAATCATCGGGAAATATATTCTCAATTAACTTTTTGTGTACATAACACAAAGTAAAATTACGACCGGCCATGGTTGAAAAAAGTCCTGTTCATCACAGTGATTGTATTTTTTTTTTGTGCTTTATTGAAGGTTTATTGAAAATTTCAGATAAAATTTACATCACTGAAGAGATTTTTTTTATATACAAATTTAACTTTATTTACACTTTTTTTACTATTCTACATTGACAGACAAATAGGTATGAAATAGAATATGGCAATTTCAAAGAAGTTAGAATACACAGTATGGTTTCTAAAACAAATGAGTAGTCGGATTCAATTAAAATAATTGTATGCCTTTTTCATCCGATTTTAGAATTTAAAACTCATACAGAGTGGTCACTAGGCATACAACGGTTTAGGGCTTCAGATTTAAACATTCACGCGGCACTTATGGATATAAAGCAGTGAGGATTCGTTATTGTGTAAACACCTACCTTGATCAGGTGTAAAGACGAATAATGACCCCCATCGAATAATGACCGGGGGTCATTTTTCGCTGTCGAATAATGACCCCCGGTAATTATTCTACGTAGAAAAATGACCCTTTTGTCAGTAGAAAAGGTGTCACAACCCTAAAAATTTGCAGAACCCACGTGAAGAAAAATGACCCCCGTAGAAAAATGACTACCTGTGCATTAAAGCTGAAATTTTTCGGGGGCCAAAAAAAAAATAAAGAAGCATATTGGCCAAAATGCTCACCTGAGCTTATTTGGAATAAATTGATGATATGTTGATCTCATAACATACATGTACGATTATAGCTATATTTTAAGGTCAATGTGATGATACATAATCTAAAGAAGTAAAGATTTATCGAGCCTAAAGGATTAAGTAAACATTGTTTTTCGATGGGGGAAATCATCGTACTGACAGAAAAAAATCAGCAGTATCACATATTATCTTATTCTCTGCTGAAAAGCTGGAGAGTATATATTGATCGGTACGTCCGTCCGTTCATCTGTTACGGTTTGGGGTATCCATCAGTTATCCGCAACTCCTCTTATATATAAAAAGATGTGTTTGTGAAACAGCTATGCCCATGAATGGCAACATAGCGAAGACTAAACTTTTCTTAGATGCAATTTAAATATAATGGTACCCAATGTAGGGCATTCTCACCAGAAATACAATTGCAAATTTAAAAGGAAAGCCCTAGCACCACTTGTTCAAAATAAATGGCTAAGGATAAGTGTTTGAAAGGTAAGTCAAACTCAAAGGTCAAAGTTGATGGTTTCTTAAGAAAGGTTTAATATAACAAGGATTACATTTGTTAAGTATGAGAGTATTAGTATCTACAGTTAAAAAGTTATAGCCAAATTAAATTAAAAATTTGGGGTTTTTTTGTAAAATGGGAGAGACTCCAAGGTAAAGGTCAAAAGGTCAAATTTGGTGGTACCCAAAGTAAGGTCTTGTCACAAGGAATGTACACATATTGAGTATGAAAGGCAAAGCTACAATAAATGAAAAGTTTTGGTCAAGGTTAAAGTTTTTGCGGAGAAACAGACCGCCAGATAGACAGACAGACATACAGACGGACAGGATAAAACTATATACCCCCGAATCTTCGATTACAGGGACATAAAAAAAAATGTTCTTCAATTAACTTTTCATATTATGATACAGCATGAAGAAGACGTTACAAAAATGAAAATGTGTGTACTG